TTTGGAGGTTTCCTTGCAAGGAATGGTCTCTAAAATAGCCCGTTCGATTGATTGAAAGAGGTAGTTTTTAGCTTTAAGATCCTTCAGTTTTAAAGCTTCCAACCTCGTCCTTTGGTCTGCCGGCATCTCAGCGGTGGGAGTTGCTGCTCCAGTCTCCACCACAGCCCAAAGTTCTTTGGACCGGAGAAAGTTTTCCATCAACATGCTCCAATGATCGTAGTGACCATCAAAGCGGGGAATGGAAGGTTGAACAAAGCCTTCAGATGCCATGGATCAATTGATATTGCTGCTGCAGTGAATTTATGAGGCTCCGATACCAAATGTAAGACAAATTATCTTTGGGGAATTTTATCAAACAGGTTGTAGGCAACCTTGTTTATAAGAAATGTTAAAACTATAAATATTTAATATGGATCAGAACAAGCTCAAAAACAGAACAGGAATGGGAAGAGGACTTGATAATTTTATTAGTCTATAGCTACGCCAATTTATAGGCTATACAAAGCAACAAGATAGACACTACTGCATTTCCTAAAAATAAGGAAAGCCACAAAAGTGTAACTAATGACATAAGAATAGGACAATAACTGAAATGATAAACCTATTAATAAATAATGACTTTGTCAACTGACTTATTCAACACTATGGCCATGAGTTCAGAATCTGAAACACCACTCCGATTTTTTTTCTATCTAGATAATTTTATCATTGTTTAACGTGTTTTTTTAAAGATTTTTTAAATGCATTAGGAGTATGATTTATTATATTACATTGAATTTTCTGTATTTAAATATTACTTATATTAGATTTTACAGATTTTTTCTAGAGTAATTTTGACTGAACTTATTTTTAATTTCTTTTATTTGGTTATACATATAAAATTTAAAATTTATACATTAAAAATACATCAAAAACCCCCAGAATAAGAAATGACATGACTATATTATTTTATCGAATGATTAATAAAAACAAGTTAAGAAATTGATTAAAACTTGACCATGTAAATAATAACTCAAAGAATAGTTTTAATGATGGAGAGATGATTTTTTCCTAATGACTAATGAAAATATGATCTCTCCATCCAAAAAAGGACACCACTTACCAGGACCGACCCGAAAATGTGAAAAAATGATTTTGGCCCTGTGCAAAACTCACGTGTTGGTCCTGCCTTGTTTTTTATAGAGTACTTGTGCCTTAAAACTAGTGTTAAATTTGATTTCTAATAACCATTTTTTTAACAATTTTAATATTAGAATATAAATTTAAATTACATTTAAAAATATCAAGCAATTAAAATTATGAACATATAATAATATCGGGTCCTAAAGGTTTGGGGGCCTGTGCAGGTGCACACCTTGCAGACCCATCTGAGCCACCGATGACTGTTACAATTACGGTCTTTCGATAACTTCTGTTTATTTGTATGTTTTCATTGACAAGTTGATAAATTAGAATATTCTTGTCATCTCTTCTTTTATAGATTTTTTTTGTACTTTTGAGGGGTGTAATTTATACTTTTTATTTTCATACCAATTTGTATTTAAAAAAATATTGAAAATGTTGTGATTTTACATGTTGTTCGGAATGTGATATGTATCATGTATGGAGTGACTAAAAAGTAAATAAAATTTGATAATCAATTTCATAGTACTCACTATTTGGTAATATCTTATTATCACATCTTTTTTGCTAACATATGACCAATGCAACTATCACATGTATATTTCATTAAATACCACCAATCTGTGATTAAAATCTAATTTTCTGAATGAATGAAACCCTTAGTAATGGGCCTCATATTTTATCATCCCATCCCTTTCTTCTTTTTTATTTTTGGAAGAGGGACACCCCTTTGCGGTTTGGCTCTGGAGTCTAGCCTCTTCCATTTTCGACATTTCATCGCCGTTCCGAACACATCCACGTATTTCTCTCTCTACTCTCCCTTTTCACCGCTTTATTTTCCAACCTTAATACGTACGGAGGAATATCTAAATTTTCCCAGACAAAAATTAAGTCTTAATTTTCATTACAAGATGAGTCAGTTGATGTTTCCTATCATTGATGAATATTTACATGTTAGAAATTATAAATCTGAAACTATACTCTTCAGATCTTAATTTCACATTTTGGATGAGTATTTGCTTTGTTATTTTCTCAGTCTTGAGATCATAATGTTATTGATTATGTTATATATTATCTCCGAATTTGATTGTCCACTTACTAATTTTAGGCTTTTAGTTGACAAATAATTGTGAAATTTCACTCACAAACAACAACAACAACAACCCAGTTAAATCCCACAAGAGTAGGGTCTGGGGAGGGTGTGTGTACGCAGACCTTGCCCCTACTCGAAAGTAGAGAGGCTGTTTGCAAAGAGACCCCCGGCTCAACATCGAAATTTCACTCACAAAATGACTGAGAATTTTAAAAAAATGCATTCTAAATTCAAGTTTTTGTTGTTATTTTAACCTCATTTCCTTACATTTGAAGAATTTTAGAAAGGTGTAACAAAATCTTTAGGGCTTTGTTAGGTTGTGGAGCTTGATGGAATATTTGGGTTGCGTCTCGACCCAAAATTTTAGGTTTTACCTTGTAAGTTATCGTACATACTCCGAAATCATCAATATATAGCCCTATTTAATTTGTTCTCTTCTTTGTTGTTTTTCTTCGTATTTCGTCTTCATATTGATTCGCATGTGTGAGTTTGTAATACTTTTTTTGGTTTTAGGATGTGTGTGTATGTTTTTGAAGTATTAGTAACATCTATCAGAGAACATTCAGAATTCTTCATTTTTGTCAGTTTTTGGCCAAAGTTTTTTTTGTTGTTGCAGAGATTTTGGTTTGCTAGTTTGAAAAAAATGAACATTTTCAGTTCAAATTATAGAGAAATAAAAAACTGTTTTCATCCTCCTCTAAGGAAGATTTACAAATAAAAATCTAAGTTTTAGAGTACATTGAAAACCCCTTGGGAAGTTTCATATATACCCTTTTGAAGATCACCATCAAGAAAATGTTGTAAACTAACAAGTTGAGTTCTGTAATGTTTAACCGTTCCGTTCGGCAGTTTGACGATTTCATAGACCCATTTGCGCACTCCCAAAGGTGTTTTGTGTTGAGGCATACACCATATTGTTCCAAATTGAGTGTTTGTGTTTGTGAAGCCTCAACTTGGCGCATTTATAGCAACACCCGATTGTTATATAACTTTTGACCAGATGCTCTACTTGTAGAGTCTCTCCAATTTTTCCTTTTTTTCATTCCGCTTTAATTTTCTTATATCTTAGTCTTTGCTTCTTTATGTAGACGGATTAGCTTTCAAGGTGCTTGAAACAATGTTTTAGTTATGTGCACATAGTTATATGCCTTGAATGGTTGGTAAAATATGATTGCAGTACATTGCCTTTGTTAACTTTAGTTTGTTCATCGCCATGCGTGCTTGGTGATTTATCTATGTTTTCTCTATTTTATATATCTCTTGTGGTCTTTTTGAGCTGGGGGTCTCTTTGAAACAGGCTCTCTACTTTTGAGTAGGGGCAAGGTCTACGTACACACCCTCCCCAGACCCTACTTCCGTGGGATCCAAGTCGGTTGTTGTTGTTGTTGTAATGTATAGAGTATATTTAACCAAGTTTCAAGTGAATGATCATTTTTTTGTTCTAGGGGTTAAGTAAAACTCTATGCTGAAGTGGCTGGCGCTCTCTGTTTGATCGGTAATATTAGAATAAATGGAATCCACGGTGAGGATGAATTCTCAACCACGGCGAATCTTGCCACCTGGAGCTTCACGGAAACAGAAAGAGAAGGAAATGTCATCTTATAATTCCATGTGGCCATCATCATATCCAGTTAGTCACAAGGCTACGACGTCGTCGAAGCAAGCTGAGTCAGCAGCAGGCTACTCGAACCGGGTCTTAGCCGGTTACATGGCTTACGAGTTCTTAACTAAAGGAACCGTGTTTGGCCAGATGTTCAACCCGGCTCGAGCTGAGGCTGCCCTGGTGAACAGTGGTGCAGCAGATGAGGTGAGAAGGGGAAAACCGGCTGCCGAAGCCGAGCCGAACGAGGTGAGGAGCCGAACATATGATGAGGTGGCGAGCCTGTTGAAGAGCGACGAGGCCCACATCCCCGGTGTGGTAAATCCGACGCAGCTCGCGCGATGGCTGCAGATGTGACATCATTGTGCGCTGGTCTTTTGAAAATCCTTACCAAAACACTCAACGGTTTGTTACACTTTGGGGTAGGTTTAATTTGTATCATGAACTAAATGATCTTGTTGTTAGTAAATTTTCGGGTAATAATCCTTCATTTCTATTAGAAGTGTGTCAAAATATGTATGATACCAATATATTTGGGGCCATATAGTTCTCCGTTAGGTCCGGGACCGGATCCTAGATCCTACCACCGAGAGCCCTCTTGCCCAAAATGTTGTAATGATCATTGAAGTTTTGTGTCAAAATATTTGATATTGAAACTATTTTTTGTGATGAAGCAACTAGTCAAAATTCAAGAAATAAATAAATCGTGCAGATTACCTTTGAAAGCGCTAAAATTAAATGATGCCCTTAGACAACTTAGCCAAAACAATACACTTAGCTTTTGGTCCATGTGAAAAGCTAAGTTTAATTAATAACTTGTATTGTCTCTCTTTAAATGCATTGAAGGTACAGAGTGAAATGGATGAAGCAGTAGTGTGTGTGTGTGTGTGTCTGTATATAATGTCTCAATGTTTGTTTGTTTGTAGCCCCCCCACATGAACTGATCTTCGCATTGCCTTCTTTGTCGTCATGCCTTGTTGATTGCAACTGATGATGAAGATGATGATCTAGCAGCCTTCAGATTCAGAAATATTGCCCTAAAGCACATGGCCAGATGAGTACTATTACATTAATTGATCTCTGAGATTAGACAAAGTGTTTGAATGTTAATTACTATACTAACCAGCACGAGGATACAAAGTTGTGAAATAAAACGCGCAACTGCAGGGGCATGTACTGGTAGTTGATCCACCCGACTATCGGCCAAAACTGCAACTCGTGTACAATTGTTGAACATATACACTATGTTTGGTTCATGGAATTTGGAAGGAAAAGAAAAGAAAATGATTTTCCATTAGTTTCCTCACCAAAATGGGAGGAATTTGGTTTTCCATCCTCTTAATACATTTTGCTTTCTCATTTTCTTTTCCTTCCACTTTTCTTTTTCTTTTCCTCTCTAACCAAACAAGAAAAAATGTTTTCCTTCTCATTTTCTTTTCCTTTCCCTCTCAAATTCCTTGAACCAAACATAGTGATAAAGTCTCATAATGAAAACCCAGACTGAAAAAAAAGTACTCCGTAATATATAAGAATACGAGTTGTAGGACACCCATACCTTCCATGCAGTCAATTGCACGGAGGGGTAGTCCTTCCGGACCTTGTTTTTCACAACACTCATGGCCTCCCTGCAATACCGGACCATATTATACTAATAGGCGACCAAGGGTCGTCTAGAAAGACATTCGAACCTTTCTTATAATAGGAAAATGCTTAGTGTCCAAAGGGCGACTCTACTCCAAACTCGTCCTCACCCTCTTTTTTTGTTGATACAGACATGAGCTCTCGGGTAGTGTCAGCCCATGCCCGTGTGGACAAAAAAAGGTGGGGTCGTGTTTGGGGGGCAAAACCCCCCTTCTTATCACCCTTGGTGCATGATTTTTGAATTCATAGGAAAGAGCTAGAAAAACAATATACTTGCATTGATGCATGGTCTCACATACCTTCAACTACTAAGCCATAGTACATCAAGAAAAGCATGTTGTTCCATGGAGAAGTAGTTAACTGCTCCAATAAGACCTTTACATAAGGGAAATTAAATTGCTGTTATTAATTAATATCAGCAAAAATGGAAAAAAAATACTCCAGAAGGAAAAAAGAAAACAATGTGACTATTTGTAACATAAGTGTTTGACCTTTGTAGCAACAGTTTTGTTACCCTTCTTTCCTTTGAACAAAGTGTCCATCAACTTGTGCAGAAAATGCCCAAATGGCCCTGAGTATGCAAACCCATATCACACAACCCCATATCAGTAAATTCACTAGCTCCTTTCAATTAATTTTTTCCCCAAGAATTATGAATAAAGATAATAACAATGATGATGATGATAATACAGTTAAAAGAACTATTCTTTTCAATTGCAATTTCTTGTTCCCAGAAATCTTCTGGGCAACCACATCACTGCACCCGACCAAAACACCAGCTGTGACCGCCTGACAAAAAAGAAAGAAAAACCAACTCAACCAAAAGCTCAAACAGATGATTAGATGCTCGGAAAAGATTTTAATATTCTAACAAAAAATCAGTTTATGCGTACGGATGACCTTGGTGCGAAGGGGATGGAGTTGGACTTGCAGGAGATACTTGTCCCAACCTTGTTTTACCATCTCAGACATTTTGTTTTCCGATTTTAACCTTTCTTTTTTTTCTTTCTCCTTCTCTTATGAAGACAACCTTTAACTGGTTCAAAAAACAATGTCCCAAGTACTGCACAATGTACAACCACCATTTTTACGTACCAATTTCTTTCATTGGTTTGGTGGTTGGTATCAACAACTATAGATTGTTTGTCTCCTTCATTTCATTAATTAGTTAGTATTATGATCACTAATTCCTTTCTTTCTTTTATGAGACTTTGTGGAAGGCTGTCTGTTAAGTTACAATTGCAAAAGAATTGAAGAGGCCATGCGACGGGAAACGACCCTGATGCGAGGAAGAAGTAAATTGTGAAAAAAACTGAATCAAAATTTTCCTGGAAAATATTTTTTCCTCAACCAAACACACCATAAGTGAGAGTAATTATTACGATGTAAATGATAGAATGGAATGAATAAATCCTCTCAGTATAGTCACTATCTCCTTGTTAACGTCACTCTCTTTTGAAGGACTGGAACTAACTCGGAATAATTTGGGAGCCGAAATATATTTTTATATTATACAAGTGTGATATAAAAATTTGTTTATTTTTGTAAAAAATTTATGAGAATATGCATACATATGAGTAAATTTCATAACATCTTTTTATATTTAGTCTATATTTATCAAATATTACAAGCATAATCCCTGCTTTTTTGGTTCTTTTCACGACCAGTCCTCCATCACTCATACTATTATCTACATGTTCAATATAGGGTTGAAATGGAATTTACTCCATACATACTCCCTCCGTTCCACAAAACCCTTCCGGTTTTGACTTTGGGGAAAAATAAGGAAAGTATAATTTTGGTTGACTTTCCAATTTTGCCCTTGATGTGATGGGAAAAAGTAAGATGTGATAGTTTGGTTATTAGTGAAAAAGTATGATGTGATAGGTAGGGTATGAAAAAATAGGGGTAAAAGTGGTTTTTTAATAGAAAGTGGAAGTGTTTTGTGGAAAGCAAAAAAAACGAAACAGTAAGGGTTTTGTATATGCTTATAAAATCAATAAAAAAAAATGGGTAAGAGTTAGAGTGGAGTGTTATATCCACCAACCAATTCACTGATGAAAGCTTTACTATATATGTCCACCATGGATATGGCCTTTTTATTGGTTGACCAATCTTCAATGGATTGTGTATGGACTCTATGATACTGCAGCTGCAATATCATCACTTATGGCTTATCCATCCAACTCAAGCTCTCAGTGCATGACAATATGGAATCCAATTCAATTTCAATATAATATACAAACCCATGATTCTAGTGTTTTGTTAACTATTCATAGAGTTAAACAGTGCTTTCTTTAAACTTTCTCCAAGAAACAAACTATCTACTCTCGACTAGATGTAAGGTCTGCATATACATCCTCTCTAGATTACTCCTATGAGATTCAACTAGATTATTGTTGTTGATGACTGGATTGTTATTGTTATTACGTTGAAAAAATCAGATGAAACAACTAGTGAAATGAAACGGCTCAGAACAAAGGAACCAGATACGAAACTACTCCCTCTGTCCCAATCAGTTTGTCCAATTTTCCATGTATGTTAAAGACAAGTATGCTAGCATTGCTATCTTATCCCTCTGCCTTTTCAAACTTAACACACCCAACTTGTTCAACCAAGGGCATTTTGGTCTTTTTATTCCCCATTGGTCCGACGGATCTCTTGGACCCCGTATTAACCCGTTGAATAAGGCGCGCCACACGGGCGTGGGATAAGGAGATATATATATATATATATATATATATATATATATATATATATATATATATATATATATATACCACACTAAAGAAAGGAGCTAGGTGTGAGAGTGTCCCATGCCACCATATAAGCTCACAAATAATTACAAAAGAACTCATCACCATACCCAATTGTACTGCCCGTACATTATTGGTAAAACTCATACTAATGGGATCGAGGTTATATATATAATTAACTCTTTGCTCCCAACAAGTAGTGATCTATCAATTAACTTGAATTAGTTACTTAATTATAGTACTTGTTAATTATTATATTGGTGCTTCTATTTCTGAGGTCATTGTGGGAAATGCACAGTTTATAAGTACAAGCAGTTGACTTGTTAATTGCCAGTAGTTCAGCAATTAAATACGTTGAATAGATACTTATGCACTTGATTAGTGCGTCATGATATGGTTTTGAGTTAATTACCCCAATGTAGTGTGTGTGTGTATGTATGGGTGGTGCTAATTAAGGTACTAGTACAAGTGATAAGTTGATTAACAATCAAATTACTCATTTAAAAACTATATAAAAAGATATACAAAACTAGTGGTGACATAATTACATTATTTTATAAAATGACTAATGAAAATAGAGAAAGATTATGAATAAAGTTTAATCATGTAAGTAGTAAACATGTAATTGAATAACATCAAAATGAGCATAACCAACAATTATATATACCTAGGTGTGCTTTTTTTAAAAAGATTGTTTTAAACGTTTTTCGTTCTGAAAAACCAAGATAATCATATATCAAAAAAGAAAAAAAGTGTGGACTTCTTTGGAAGAGGGAGGTAGCAACATATCATAGAGAATAATATATAACTGTTTTAGTGGACCCGTTATGAACAGAAGTGCGCATTTACACAGTATTATATCAAAAAGCAAACATTTTTTTAAGATAAAAATTTATATAGTCTGTGGAGCATATTACTTATACTTTTTTTGGGTGATATTGAAGGCAACATGAGAGCATTTAGAGTGGCTAGCTAGTATAGCTGGGAGAATATTAGTTTAGTTCTAAGGAATATTCTGCAGAAGCAGGGAGCATTTAGGAATGTGGGAAGAATGATTCCTTTGTTATTCCTTATATCTCCATCCAATTGGAAGATTGGGATCTATTCCATGGAGTATAATTAACTAGAGTGGAATATAATTAATAATAATAATATTATTATTGCCATGGAACAATAATAACCAACCAAAAGTAGCTAAATAAAGCTACCTTCATTTCTTTAGCTGCCAAATATTTTCTTGTCATAATGTCTTTCTTCCTTTTTCTTCTACCTTTTGACATGCATGTGACATGCCCCATCATCCAATGAAAATAGTGTTGTT